TTAAATGTCCTTTACGCAACCACGTTCACAGCATTTTAGGTACTTTTGTTTTATTCCCCTTGTTCTGCTTGTCATTTTCTTAATTGTTTTGCTTGTTCTTACTACTCTTAGGTGTTTTAATAAAACGGGGTAGGAAAATCATTTAAAGGGTCAAGAAATGCAAAATTAATAAATTTGGGTCGGGTGGGGATAACGGATTATTACTTTATAAAAAAAAAATAAACGCGATCACTTTTTATTAGGCATCTAAGATTACCAGAGAGGAGGAATTTTGTTTGGTTTGGATTGTTGTGCTTTACGTCATATCAGCCTCAATGGGTTAGGGTTAGGGTTATTTAATGCTGACAAGTATTTTTAGGGTGGGTAATTTGTTTTTTCGAAAATGTATTGCTGGTATTAAAAGCTATTTTCATACTTTCATAGTGTTTTGACCCATTTTGAGCGGGGCGGGGTAACTATTTGCCCATAGCTGGGATCCAGACAGATGCTACCACCCCAGGTCAAGATAGACCTGGGAATACCAGCAATTAAGAGGTATTTCCTCTCCTCTCAAAACATTCTGATCGAAGGCATTGCTGTCGGATGTATTTTATCATCTTACCCAGGACGTTGAAATTTTGTAATAGGAATTGTGTTAGTAATAATGATGTCATATTGATATAAATATATTTCTTATTTTCGTAAATTCTGTATTTAGTAGATACATCTATTTGATTAAACATCACTGTCCTTCTATTTAAACTGTCAATTTAATTAACGCTTACTGGCCTGGGAAATCAAATTCTACTCGAAGACCTGTGTTCATTAAATAAAATTTTATAGTACTAAAGATAATGGTGTTTTATAAATAAGAATTCAATAATTCTTTAGAAATATAAATTTAACTCTGAGTATACATATCTATAGTTAGAGAAATAAAGAAAGTGATATTAACTAATTCTAATTCTTAACAATACTTTTGGTACTTTTTTTCCTGATATATACCAAGTTCTTTTTGGTTGTAGACACAAAATTTTGCTTCCTGATTTCTTTCTGCTCTACCGGATGTAACAGCAAAATTGTCCAAATCGTGTAAAAGTTTTGAATCTTTGCATTTTAGAAATGATTAAAGATATCTTACTGGAATTCTCCAGGGTTTTTCTAACACTATTGGACTCTACTTTGAGCAATAAGAATGTATAATTTCTCTTAACGGAAGAATCGTGATTAAACCGATCATAAAGGAAAATGACATGTTCCTCATTAATTAATAATAGGTAAGGATTGAAATAAAGTTTATATATATATATATATATATATATATATATATATATATATATATATATATATTCCAGGAACATTTTCCAACTTATTCAAGATGATCATCGCCCTCTCTAACTTTCTAACTTTCTCTCCTGGAGTAACAATGTGCCTCACAAATGTAACGTACGATTTCATTTTGAAGTCTTTTTTCACTGCTCTTTGGACTCTTGTAGATGAAACCCTTCTCTCAATGGTGAATGAATTTAGTTGGATCTCTTTAGCTCTCAGTTGAAATGATAATACTTCCTCCTCCTGTGACCTCCTGATCCAGTTTTCCACTCTACTGTTCTCTCTTTTTTTAAACTTATTCACCGTTTTCTTGATGATTCTTGAATAAACTTTGAAGATGGAAGCCAGAATATGAATGTTGGTACCATTACAGAAGGCCCGAATGATCTTTGTCCTCTCACCATTGTTCAAGTGGGAAGATATAGTGTGGCTGAAACAAAACGATTTTAACCTGTTCTCTTTCTAGCTGAATAACTCAAAGGGTTTTTCAATGATTCTTCCAATAAATGGCGTGAAGATAGCTAAACGTGCTATCTGAAAATCTGGAAAAACAGAAACTCAATTAGTTTAGTGGTTTCTTTTTAGATATTGAACATTTTATGAGATGGACAATTATGCTGTTACACGATTTGAACAATTTTGGTGTTACACCGGGTAAGTAACCCCACTTTTTGTTTTTGTTCTTTCATCTATTCGCATAAATTCGTTTTGGTGTTTTCCCCTTGTTTCTGTGGCTTTTAAAATGTCCTTTATGCCTTAAATTATTCAGACCATCTTTTTTATTCTCTCTCTCTTTTCCGTATATATATATATATATATATATATATATATATATATATATATATATATATATATATATATATAGATAGATAGAGAGAGAGAGAGAGAGAGATTGATTTCTCTGTATCCTTGGAAACAAAAATTATGAATGCATGCGCTTTTAAAACTCAGTAAATTTTAAAATAGGTTATTCCAAAATTCACTTGAATATGAAACAGAACTAATGCTTTTAATTGAATATAATTGAATTTGAAGTTTTTATTTTCTGTATTTGAAACATGATAATTCCTGTGTAGGGATGAAACCATATTTTTAAATCAGTTAATTTGTAATATTTATGCGCTGTAAATTTATATTGAGCACTGTTTTGTAAAAATAAAATATCATTAAGAACACCGGATTACATATCTTGCTGTTCTTTTTTTTACATATATATATATATATATATATATATATATATATATATATATATATATATATATATATATATTCTTTTTTTATAATATATATATTATATATAATTTATATATATATATATATTCTCTTTTATAATTTTGAATTTATTTTGCACAGAGAAAGCCAAATCGTAGAATTCGATCTTCCAGGCTAATGTTCTCTCTCACCGAATTTATGCACTGAAACGCATCAATTTCCATAACTGTATAAACAATGATAAAAATAGTGGTTGCTTTGAGACCAGGCTTCGCAAACATCATCGTTGATGAAGGCTAAGCTCACTGCACGTATTAAATGAACAGGCGTAGATGTCACGTGACACACAATGTGTGTCTCTCTCTTCGAACACAAACGAAAGGCCCGTCTTGAAATTTTGACCATTTATTCTTTCTATTTCATTTGATTACTTCCCTCTCGTCAACTCTTACTTTTACTCGGTGTTCATTTTTTTCTTTTTTCTTTTTTTTTTTTTTTCTTGCCAGTCGGATTTTTTTTTTCTACATCCCTTCGTCACCGAATATTTTTTCTTTTTCATTTTTTGTTTGTCAATTTAATCGTTTTCCTTATAATTTTATTTGAAATTCCAATTATCCTATTAGTTTCTAAGCCTTTGTGATTTCAAAATACTTCATTTTATGCTGCACATTCAATGGCCAATGTTTAATAAATTCTTATCAAGCCTACGTCGACGACAGTATTACCCTGTGAAGACGGCCTCATCGTTCGGAATCTTTAAAAAATGCCTCATCGCTATAGCAAGCGTTTTCCAAGTCATGAAAATGAGATTTGGTAAAGAAACCTATTTGTAATTCATCGAGAGTGTTGCTAGTAAGAATCATGTCATCTTGACTGAGGGTTTGAGTGTATCATCATTATAAGTAACTAAAGTTCACTCAGCATATTTTTACTATAAAGTAAATGCCGGCTATGGGTTGTGAAGAAACAAAAATATGCCTGAGTGGACGCATGCAACAGGGATTAACTGGCTAAAATCAGACGGAAAATTGGAAATGAGCAGCCAAATATCGAAGTCCGTTCACATCCATCTATCTATCAACGTCCATTTACATCTATCCATCTATCGAATTCCGTTCACATCTAACTATCGAAGTCCGTTTAGATCCATCTATCTATCGGTCCGTTTAGATCCATTTATCTATCGAAGTCCGTTTAGATCCATTTATCTACGGAAGTACGTTCACATCCATCTATCTATCGAAGTCCGTTTAGATCCATTTATATACCGAAGTACGTTCACATCCATCTATCTATCCAAGTCCGTTTAGATCCATTTATCTATCGAAGTCCGTTTACATACATCTATATATCGAAGTCCATTTAGATCCTTTTATCTATCGAAGCCCGTTTAGATCCAACTATCTATCGAAGTACGTTTGCTTCCATCTAACTATCGAAGTACGTTTGCTTCCATCTATCCCGCGAAGTCCGTTTACTTCCATCTATCCCGCGAAGTCCGTTTACTTCCATCTATCCCGCGAAGTCCGTTTACTTCCATGTAGCTATCGAAGTCTGTTCACATCTATCTATCTGTCGATCTTTCGGAGTCTCTTCACATCTATCGATCTATCGAAGTTTGTTCACATCTATCTATCTATCTATCTATCTATCTATCTATCTATCTATCTATCTATCTATCTATCTAAGCCCTTTCTCATGTCTATGTACACCTTTTATACATTCTGATTTTTTTTTATTTTCCATTTTGTTGCCAGAAAATTCACCCCCCCACCATTTAATTTTTCTTCTTCTCTGTTTATTCTTCTTATATTTTCAAGAGTTTTTCCGTTTTCTTTGTTTTCTTCCATTTTTTTTTTTTGCTTATAAGATATTTTTTTCCATTCGCATGTTTACTGCTTTCTCAATAGCGATTCACCTACCAACCTGACACCACTCGAATCATCCAATAACCTCTGACCTAAAATGAGTAAAACAAAGGAAAAATCGTGTTTGTTCCACCCGAATTTCTTTATGCAATAATATTTAATGTCTACAGTCTTCCACCATGCATTTCTTTTTCCAATCACACACACCATTCGCCCATCGAACCTCTATCCTTGAATTGTTATCCAATGTGCCCACCGATGGCGCATATTTATGCATGCAGAGTTGTCCACCATTTTGCTCTCGTTGCTCCTGATGTCGCCAGTGATTGGTTTCGAGTTTAGCGCATGAGAAATAGTAGCGCGCGCGCGTGCGTGTGTGTGTGGGTGTGTGTGTGTTCGCATGTGCAAACGCGGACGAATCGATAAGACAAGAGCAACAGTTTGTAGTTGGATGCTTTTTGGCGCCAATCCAAAAATTCACGCGGCACAATTGTTAGATTAGACAAGTAGAGAGACGAGAGCGAGAGAGAAAGCATAAAAACTGAATGGAAATTGATGGCGTCAATAAGAATGTGGTGAAAAAAAAAAAGAAACGAACAAAGAAGTGACTCAACAGAGAAAAGAAAGAAAGAAAGAAAGAAAGAATGAAAGAAAGAAAGAAAGAAAGAATGAAAGAAGAAAGAAAGAAAGAAAAAAGAAAAAGAAAGAAAAAAGAAAAAAGAAAGGAAATTTAAACGAAGAGATAAGGTGAAGGTAGAAATAAGAAAAAGATTGAGAAATGAAAGAGACAAGCAATAAATGCAGAAAAAGTGTAAATAGAATAAAGAAAATATGAAAAAAGAATAAAAAAAAAGAAAAAAGAAATAAGGTAAAAGAAAAATGAATAGAAATGATAGAATAAGAACCAGGATGAAGAAAATACGAAAAGAGTAGGAAAAATGAAAATGCAAAGGTGGTAAAATGACTGAGAAAATAATAGAAGTGAAAGATAATGAGTCAGACAATAATTGTGAACAAAAACATTGAAAAAAGTAAAACAAGAAAAAAAAAACAGTGAAAAAAATTGAAGAGGGAAAATTAAGCAAAGAGAAATAGAAGTGAAGAAAAAATTTGTAAAAGGAAAATGAAAAATGAAATCAGCTAAAGGATGTGAAAGAAAAAAAAATGAGGTTGAAACAAGAAATCTTAATCGAATGAAGGAAAGACGAGAGAAAGTCCCATGAAGGGGCTATGGATAAGATTAGGAAATGAACGGGTTATGGATTAAATGTATAAAAAGGAATAATAAAAAAAAAAACAGATTAAAAATGAAGATTAGAAATGTAAAAATGGAGGAATGAGAATTGCGATGAAAAACTGGAAAGATTTAAAAAGTGAAAAAGAAAAGGAAACTGAAGAAACGGGGAAAATAATTAGTAAATGGAAATCACCAGCAAACGCTTGAACATGAAATCGATTAAATAAGCTTTAAATATAGCACTTTAGAAGAGGCCGCCTCTCTCTCTCTCTATCGCTCTGTCTGTCTGTCTGTCTGTCTGTCGCTCTCTCTCTCTCTCTCTCTCTATCTATCTATCTATATATATATATATATATATATATATATTGGTGTCACAAATGTTTTATCAGCCTGACTACATTTCAAAATCTGACCAAATATCAGATTTTATTTTGGGAGAGATGTTTACACCAAGGCAAAAATTTTCAGCACTTCCTCATATATATATATATATATATATATATATATATATATATATATGTGTGTGTGTGTGTGTGTGTGTGTGTAAACCAAATGATTAGATATTAGCAACTGTAAATGTATATATATATATATATATATATATATATATATAAAATAAAAATAATTACTAAGAATAATGGACATATATATATATATATATATATATATATATATATATATATATATATATATATATATATATATATATATTATTTTTATTTATTTATATATATATATATAAATAAAAATAATTACTAAGAACAATGGACATATATAATATATATATTTACTATTTTAAAATCGTTATCACTACATTGGATTTACTAAGTTTCAAAATAAAAATTGTAAATTTTAAACTTAATTATAAAATTAAATTTAAAATCCATATTTTCATTCCATTATCAAACGATTTTTGGATTCCCAAAATTTAATTTTATAATTAAGTTTAGAAATTTAGTTTCTGTTTTGAAACATGGTAATTCCTGTGTATGATGGGACCATATTTTTAAAATAGTAAATATATATATATATATATATATATATATATATATATATATATATATATATATATTCCAGTATTATAAACGTCTGTTATTTGTAGAAATAATTGGCAGCATTATTGGGTCAGCGAAGAATTGTTGAGATAAGCTCAACCATAAGAATTTACTGAGCTTAGCTGGTCAGGAAAATGTCAGTCTCCATTTAGCAAATATTTTTTTTTCTGCCGAGAAAAAGGAAGGAAGGTGTTAGAGACATGATCAAACTTGTGTAAATAATCTTGGGGACTGGTAGTCAAATACAGCATGTCATCGGTTGTAGCTTTGTATGATAATGTTTACTCAGGCATTAACCAGTTGGTGGGATTGCCTTTTAATTTGTACAGCATGTTTATTGGAGGAAATAAATTTGTATTGTTGAACGTTTTAATAGCAAGTCTGCATAACATTATATAATGATTATGTTAATAGCCGCGGTATCTACGAAGTCAACCCACTATTATTAAATTACTCCTCTTTTTTTCTGAATTTACCCAAAACTTCACATAAATTTTTGATTCAGTCATAAAAGGACAATGTTGATTCGATTAACTTTTCAAAGAATTACTCGATAACATGGCTATTTTGGAGCAGCTGATCAAAGTAGGTTGTATTAAGTGAAACGACAGGCTTCCTGTGGAGAATACGCCGCATGCGAAAATCTCATCACTCCAACTGAATATTTTCTCATTTATCAAAATTAACAAAGATAGGTTATTCAAAGGAGCAATATGCTGACTGTACTTTTTGTGCAATCGAAGTTTATCTTCTTTCCAGGAAAGGTTGTCGTAAATTATAATTTTTGAATTCGACCAAATTAGAATATTTTACTTGCGAGATTCCATTGAATGAGTCTTTGAAGTTTCCCATGATTTTCGCCAATTTCTTTCTGATGTTCTGCCTTTGTGAGTTCAAGCACTGAGACGGGTAGTGCAGATTAAGCAATACGATGTAAGATATGCCTTATCATGGACAGCGGAAAGAGAAAAAGTTTACTTTCGTAGATTGAATAAACGTTTCAGTTGTAAATTTCCAGAAAGTTTTCTGGATAGGCAAATATCTGAAGAAGGCCGCGAGGAACAATGGCCGAAAAGTTAGATTAATAACAAGGAAAACGATATTTTTAATCTAGTCATTTATCATATCAAAAGTAATTTAAACCCTACAACGATACATTTACAATACACTTTTGCAGATGCATGCCAGCTAGCGTATGTAGGTATGTACTTAAATGTAGATATCTAAGTGTATGTTAGTGTAGACAGCTATACGAGTAGGTATTATTAACGTGGACAAACGCATGAGAACACATACATATATATCCAAATTGACTCCAAGTCCTTAAAAACTCCCACCAAACTTGGATCTCTGATACACGGATGAGTTTAATACCAATAATTCCGAATTAACTCTCTTTCTTTTTACCAACGTTACCTCTTGATTGTTTTTTTCACGTTTTCGTTAATTTCCGTGAATTCACGTCGAATTAAATTTTGACTCCGTGACCATTAGGATGTAGGTCAGCTCATCGGTCTACAATTCCCTCCCCCTAGCCAGGCTCTCCTACCTCCACGATATGATTCCAATAACGGTGCCTTCTTCTTCTTCTTCTTCTTCTTCTTCTTCTTCTTCTTCTTCTTCTTCTTCTTCCTTTCTATAATACCCAATGTCATGTGTTTGTTTATTTTGTTTTGAAAACAATAATCTAGCGTTCTTTAGTTTAAAAAACAAAAACAAAAAAGCGTTAGGTGGCCATTTGATAAGAAAAAATCGTCTGAGAATACTGAAAGGTCGAAGCCAAAGTAGCGGAATCAACTGAACTGATTTTTAAAGTTAAAAGCTGTACATGTTATTTTTGCTTTTGTTTTTTTCACACGAGTATTGAGCAGTTTGTAATACTACTGTGTCCCTGGGTCTGATTCAGCTTTGACCATTAACCTTTTATGAAATATATATATATATATATATATATATATATATATATATATATATATATATATATACTAGCAGTAGAGCCTGGCGTTGCCCGGGGATGTAACAGAAATAGATAGATCAATTATCGACCATCATAAAGACTGAAAATAAAATTGACAAAGATCATTGTTTAAGGTTGACGGGCATGCATGTCTTAATTAGTTTTTTTTTGTTTTTTTTTTTACGAATTGGTCAAACCGAAACTCAAACAAAAACATTGTTTTCAATTGTTATGGATCTACCGATTGAATAGAATTTTATTATAAACAATTGTCTTGTAAATGGAATTTTTAAAGCATTCTGTATCTAAAAATAAAGAAAAAAGTGTGCAAGACAATAAGAAACACTAAATGCCCCCCAAAAAGTGAAGTTTTGTTGAAATCGGTTGAAAAATGTAGGAAATCCGATCCCATATATAAACGAATACACACACACACGCACACACACACACACACACACAAACAAACTTGGGTTATATAATAAGTATAACTTGATATGAGTTGTCCCCTTTCATTCTCGTGATGCCTCTTAATCGTGTTTCCAAATTGATTTCATGCAAAACAATTGTGTTTTTCAATATTTGGCGCTGTTAGAACCACCGCAAGGTAATTTTACGTCGTCCTGTGAAGTTTTGTTGAAATCGGTTGAAAAATGTAGGAAATCCGATCCAATATATAAACGTTACAGACACATACACACACACAATCTGCGTTTTATAATAAGTAAGATATATATATATATATATATATATATATATATATATATATATATATATATATATATTGATCCTTATCATCCATCGTAGCTGGTGATCTAGTTTAAAACAAAAATGTCATTACTATAACATATTTGAAGGCAAGTAGTCATCTTCATATTAAACCTGCATAGTCGTACTAAATATAGCTACTTAAACATCTAAAGATATCTTTACATAGATAAACACACAGACACACACAAGCACACCCACATATGTGTGCGTTTGTGTGTGTGCGCGAATTGTGTGTACACATGCGGACGTGTGTATTTTTGAAGCGAGAGAAAAACGAAATAAAGAGAAATATATTTCGTCGCATCTTGTGAAAAATAACTGAACAATATCTGTCCCCGTAAGAGCAAACGTGAAATCGATTTGTTCCTCCCTCTGAGATCGCACGACAATCCGAGAGAGTGACTGGACTTGAAAGGCGTTACGTCTCATTTCGGTGTCAACTGCGATCAACCTTGTCTTCCTCAACCTTGACATGAGCCTACCATCGCCCGTCCAGTGTCCGTGTTCAGTCTTGGTAGATTCAAAAGGTCGTAGAAATTCAAGTCGAAAATTTTGTCGGCGCTTGCTTGTCCGACATGGACTGGTAAGATTAAGTATCTCTTCGTTTGAGACCAAAAGAAGAAAGCACGCAAAGCTCTCTCCCCGCCCACCGGCAGCTGATGTTGTGTATGGGCAGGCGAGATAACCACAGGCGAATGACTATATATCACACAGTAACGGAAACGAGATTCTCTCTATCTTGCTTATATTACATCCAAAAGACGACGTTGGCATTTTTCGCTCTTTCGCAAACAAAGATTACATTCAACTCCCCCAAAGGCATTGACTTGATAAAGACGCTAGTGTGAAGTAGTGTTTCAGTGGCTTGACCAGCAGACAGGTAGTTTTAGATTTGGAGTTTTTTTAAGCTTTCTTATTCTTATTCATATCCGTTTGCATAATACACAGAATTCAGGAAAGGTCTTCTAATAATTGTTTTCTGGAATTCTAAAATGTAATTTTCGGACTTCAGTTCTTTAAAGCTATCCTATTTCACAACTAGACCTCCGCAGCTCTCCACAAATTCCTTTTATTTTTTTTAACTGAATTGTCATGATTTCTTTGGAAACAGAGTTTCCTGGTACTTTTCCATGGGTTTCTGTTCAGATGTTTCTTTGTCCAAGAGATGTACTATTTAATTCGTAAATGGGGTACAGGCAGACGTAAATTTAGGGCTTTCCCAAATACTTCTATGGGAAAGTAAATTCGAATTCAGCTCACTGAGTCTACGCACTGTTTATCTACCTTGCCGCCTGCACATCAACATCTAATCATCAACCTACATAATATTCATATTTCTTGAATTTCCTGCAGATTAGAAAAAGAAACTTTTCATTATTTTATTTATTTTTGCAAATATCCACAAGAAGCTTGTTGATCACCTAAATAGGAACAAACGCTTGAGCGGCAAACAGTACAGGTTTCGATCGACCCGATCCACTGCTGATGTCCTAACTACCATTTCTCAAAGAATTAGTGAGGCACTAGATAAAAAATACATATCAAAGACCACAGCATTCGATATTTCAAAGGCGTTTGACAATATGTGTCACAAAGGATTGTTACGGAAGCTCTCTAGTTATAGAATCATATTATATTCCGTTGGTAAGAAGTAAGTTTCACTCGAGTAGCTTCTTCCTGCGAAACACTGCCCCCCACTGCAACTGACCCCCAAGAGGATGTTTTCCCGATTACTATAGTTTTAAACTGAATCTATAGAATGCACCAGATAATAGATAATACATTGGCCATAAATGGAAGACGATCACACATTATGTTATGCAGCCTACGCCAAATTTGATCATGTCCATTTTTCTTTCAAACATATCAATATCATTGAAATAGCATCCTCCAATCTGAGAAAGCAAATGAAAGGACACGTGGAGATCCAACTCCTTCAAACTTGATCACCTTATATTTAAGTTGAAGAACAAGATGGATGTCTCTGGCGCCAATTTTTCATCTGGTGCCAACAGAAATTGAAATTCTCAGCGGTCAGTCGACTTAAGGATGACAAGGTTCGTTCAGCATCATGCATGTCACTAAGAAGTCGTGGAGGTTCATCACTGTTCACATCCCAGTACTGAATTCCGCTATCAGATGTGGGTTGCAAGAGAACGTCAGTTCCAAACCTTGCGTGGTGAAGAGTAGGTACTTCATGTCCGACAGAATTTTGCGATCCAATCGAAGTCCTTGAACAGCAATCCGGTCAGAACTTGTTCTTCGATGAATAGCAGAACAGGAATAGGAAGAATGTGTGGCGTCATTCCGCAGACACAACAGAAGCACCATGCCATGAGCAACGAAGAAATACCTCTTGATATTTTTTCCTGTTAAGCGCCAGAATTATTTCCATCATATTATCGAGGTGCTGGATAGGATTGTCAAGCCCTTAATTGAAGCATTGGCCATAAGGAGAGAAAGTTTATGCTCTATCCTGTGTGTCTAATGTGATTCATTAGTGGTAGGCTGAAAATTTTCACGAACATCTCAACTGACAGAGAATTTTATTTTGATTGGGGGATAAGTGGCATTCTCGTGACGTTAATGTAAAGCAATAAACTGTTTTCCTGATCTTAAACTGACGGCTCATGCAAAAGCTATAATAAAATTACGAAATGCTTGGAGCTTAAAAATTCTACCCTGTCAAATAATATCAGGGTACCTTTACTTCTTTTAACAATATGTAAAGAAAATATAAAATATATATTCGCATTTTTAATTGGGAATCTTTAATTTAAATGATGAATGTATTAATATCTTTCATAAATTTATTATCTATTTTCTGTTAATGTAATGTTAAAAGTTAAAAGCGTTACAACGTTGCAGGCGTGTCATATAAAAACGTTATTGCAACTGGTAATGTCATAGAAACGTTGTTTTGTTAATTAAAATGACATTTTCAACATGTGCGCCTTATTTGAATCCCTTGAAAGACTATACCATCGAGAAGGAAACAAAACATCGGTCCTACGATAGCAAGGATTCATTGAAACCCGATATAATGGATACAAGCGGCATAACTACCTGATCCTGTCATAGAGTGGCTTCCGGAACTGCATCTGAAAGCGATTTTACTAAATAAACTTCCGTTATGCTATTTTGAAAATATATTGATTGTTTTCGTTGAATATCTTGCTTCTCTTTTATATTTTTGTTTTCAATTACCGAATACACTGTGGATATTCGCTGTTCGCATTGATATATGCAGAATGGTCAGGAATTATCAATATGGCGAGAAAGAACATTTCAGCTCCAAATAATGAAGAATAAAGTCATGCACATACCGAAATATCTATGCGTGTATGAATGTATGAGTGTGTGCATGTGTGACTGTAGAAGAATGGAACATGCCGAAATAGATAGGTATTCCATAAATGTTTACAGTCAGATATTTTTTTAAATTAATTAAACAACCTATAAATCCAGTCCTTTCATACTGCGAAAGTCGTCAGATAGATAGAGAGAATGTAATGAATCGGCATAGATAGATACAGAGAAATAAATGAATCAGGTTAGATAGATAGATAGATAGATAGATAGATAGATAGATAGATAGATAGATAGATAGGAAAAGACAGATACATATCTAACACTGGGTTAGATAGATAGATAGATAGATAGATAGATAGATAGATAGATAGATAGAATGAATCAGTACAGATAAAAAGTAATCGGAATAGATAGATAGATACGAACAGAACTAGATAGATAGATAGATAGATAGATAGATAGATAGATAGATAGAGTAAGACATATGAGTTGACATGGGGAAAGAAACAAAACAAGAAATATAAAAGTTACATTTTTCTTTTTACAGAATACTTTAATTACTTTTTATATCCCTAAGTGAAATTTTATTTCGCTCAATCTACCAGTTAGGTACCTCACTGTCCATGCAATTAATAAATATATTCCTCTTTTGCATCGACATATGGACACATAGCAAGAAAGTGGAAAATGCCGTGGATAAACAAAAGGTGATATTTTTAATGTTCAACAACGACATTAAACTAAATTTTCTGATATTACATAAACATTCACTTAGTCCCATGAGTAATACTATAGAATCTATATACAGACCCATTAGTTAGTTTAAGGTCTTTAAACTTCGACGAAAATTAACTTCGTTAGTAGATCGAGATGAAACATTTAAATTAATATGTTTCTTATTCAATAAACATATTTTTATCTCTTACTCATTTCTCTCACTTCCCAGCTTTTCTCTATCTCACACACTTTTTGTAATTATATATATATATATATATATATATATATATATACTCATCGGTAGCACGAATCAATCTGCAGGTGGTGGGTAGAGACTGGCGTCACATAATTTAAATTTTAATAAAATATCTGGTTAACGCAGTTCATATATTATTATATATATATATATATATATATATATATATATATATATATATATATAATTATTTATTTTAGGATAAAATTGAGCCCTCTTTAAATCAACTGTTACGTACAGTGGAATTATATTCATTTGTTCTCATTTTATATATATATATATATATATATATATATATAAGTGTGTGTGCGTGTGTGTGTGTGTGTGTGATAGAGATTATTAACGGGAATGAATAATCATAATTAAGTTATTCATCGAGCTTAGAAGAATCCTCGACAGAATGCAGAAAGCACTGGACGGCCATTTCGTCCTATTTTGGGACTCATCAGCACTACCGAGAATCATTGCGATATGACGCAACGGCTCTCGGTGACAAAGAGATAACAAACTAGACAGGATATAGCGCCGATCTTCACAAATTCCGTCGTGTAACTCATCCAAGTTTACTTAGTCCAACGGACTGTGCCTCCACAAGTCACGTCTTTCATCACCAACCGCTCCATCCAGAGTATTAGAGGGCGGGTCAAACAACTGATAGAAATTATTATGATTTGAATAATCATAATTAAGTAATTCATCCAGTTTAGAAGAATCCTCAACAGAATGCAAAAATCACTCATCAGACCATGTGTTACTCCTTTTTGTATGGACGCTATATATAAGTGACTTATGCTTTAGAGGAAATTTGAAATCCAGTTTTCGCAGCTTTTTTTTTTCCTTTTGGGTTAATGCTTTTAGTTATTATTTAATCTCGAAATTGTTTATTTTATTTGTATTTTATTTCATCTACTTAATAATTTTGTTCTTTTCTGAGTTTGTAAGATTTCATATTTGCCTTTAAATGAAGATTTTTTTTACTTCTTTGTTTTGACATTTAAGGGGTTTAGTTTTTTTACTTGTAACGTGGTAAGCTTCGTAGGAAATTGATTTCATGTTTTTACCTATATATATATATATATATATATATATATATATAGACATAGACACAGGTGTATATATATATATATATATATATATATATATATATATATATATATATATATATATATATATATATGAAGAAATATAG